CTGGAAAGAACTGGCAGGGGAGTGAACGAAGAGCAGGGGCTAAATAGGGAGAAACTATTCAGGTGCAGCTGGTGGTAATCCGGGGGTAAGAAACAGGTGTGAAGGAAAACGTGATCAGGGTAAGGGAGTGAAAACAGAGAGAGGGGAGTGAGAAAGTAGGTGCAGCCGGGCAAACCTGACAGGTAACTCAAAAGCAACATGTTGGAGACGCCTGGCCTAGAACATTTATACAAGAAACAATAATGTTTACTTACTAAGGGTCACTTTGGTCATATTGTGAGAAATTCTGATAGAGGTGGACTATCCAAAAGCCAGTACTCATGATACTGAATCATAATACAAAAAGAGCAAATGGATTGCCTCTATTGCCATAAACTGTGGAGGAACAACAGACAAGAGGCATGGCTGCTTTAACGTGTCATTATTACTGTTAGTTTGGTTCCATGGTAACAGTCATCCACACAGGGCCAAGCTGAGGAAGCAGACTGTTAGACTATAGAGTCATGACACAATGGTTTAGATTCTTTCAGACGAAACACTCAGATATCTGCTTGTTAATCTTCTGCTGTTTTGTGTTTTTGTACACCTGTTTCTTTGCTGTGTTTCTTCTGCTGCAGGGACAATGCAAATTTTTCATATAAGTGACTCCTCTCTAACTTTACCCTCATGAAAATGTACACACAAGCATGCATATGTGCACACAGAAAACAAGATACACACATGCACATGGTTCAGTGGCAGGTTGGTACAGTATGTGTGAGAGGGATCCCAAGGGAGAGCTCAGTCCGAGCAACTTCACTGCACTGCCTAATTGATTTGTGTGTGTATATGTGTGTGTGTGTGTGTACGAGAGAGAGAATAGGAGGTGAAGAGAAGGCATACATTTTACAGTCCAAACTAACCTCACCTTTCTCTCTACAGTGTTTTAGCATCTGGCAGAAAATGAACAAGCCTGTCAGTCATGCTAATTTAGGCTATGTGGCTAGGCTCAGTTTTCAGCCTGTCAATTTGTTTATACCTTCCAGAGATTTTAAGACAACCATGAAGCAATATAGCAATCTGCTGAGGAGACATGAGCCTATATTAGCTACACACACAAAAGCTCCATTCTCACACATACACACTCACACACAGATTCAAGAGTGAAGGCAGCCCTTTGCGCAGCTAATGTTGCAGTTACAGCTACTTATTGAATGAAATATGAAGGTTGGACAGCAGGAGTCTGGAAAAGACACTCTTAAAAATTCTTATATTTGAGCATAGATGCAGAAAACTTTGTGTATTTTTGATAATTGTTTAATTCCACATGAGGGGAAACAGCAAAATATTAATATCAGCATGTAATGATGTTTCATGAAATGTAGACACTGCATGTATGTAGAAAACATTTAATTAAAGGTTAAAGGTGATTAGAAACATATGATTACTTATCTAAAACCACAAATAGCTATGTACAAAATTAAATTCATTGCTTTATCAGCTTACAAAGAATCCGTATTCTTTAGTTGTAAAGATCACAAAAAAGCAAAGTCTGGCTATTTTTGCAAAATGTCCAACAGTGCTTGAACGGCTCTCCGTTGCTATGGTAACGACAGTTTACCTCCCAGTTGCGTTGCGACTATCGGGTGTCCCGCTAGCAGCAGATACTGTAATAGGAAATATAGGACTAGGAAACCTTAGCTGACCTCACAAGAAACTGTCACAATTTGAAATATAAGGACTAGAAGTTGCAAACACGACATTTACGTCCATGAGCAGGTGAGCTACATGTAGCCTATTAACACTGGTTAATGTATGAAAGCTTCCAAGAAGCTAATGCAACTCTATCTAACCACTGTTAATTTACTTGGGTAGCTAGCAAGCTATTTATAAATATGCAATTTTGATTGATCTACATAGCTGTATATGCTTGTGCCGTGACCAGTGGTAGACTGTAACGGTGTTACTTAAGTAAAACCTTGAAATACACGACGTTTCCTTGTAATAAAATGCGTAGTATTTCTACACTGATGCTGCTACGTGTTCCTGAGAAAGGCTCTGGATACCTCTTCCTCCACGGACTGTGACTATTATTTAGCAGGCATGATTGAAAGAATAAATATCAAAATGTACATGAGAAAGGACTATATTCACATAACCTTTAAATAGTTCTAATAGAGATAGTGTACATATAGTACAGTATATCAAATCAATTCACAGAGGAGTGTCACAGACAAACTCCTTACGGTGCTTTAAATGCTTTCTTTGTGATGTCCAGGTTACAGTGTCTGGGAACATCCTCCACCGGTTCACAGAAGCAGGTGTGCGATATTTTATCACAGCACTTTAGTTTTCTACCTACATACATAATATAAATGTATAATAAAATGTATGAATATACATCGTTTTGTTTGATCTCTTCACCTGGATGTAGCCGGCAGTAGAGATCACCCCTCCTCATGCTGAGACCCACAAACCAAATGGTAAGAAATAATTTAGACTTCAAATCTTAATTAATCATTGCATTCTGATCAATTCCCTTTTTTAAAGCAATGAGTCAGAAGATTTTGATTGAGTTCCACTTCGTTCTTCTGTTAGTCATTAGCCTTTCATGGCTGGCTTGTATTCTTATCATGTTTTAGATCCGGTGGGGGGAAAGACAGTCACTGATAAAACTTGGTAAGAAAATAAGAAATGCCCCATTATGAGAAAACACATTTATCTCATAACACACCATGTTTTTTGTTTGTGCTTATTTGTTTACTTGTTTGTTTGTTTTTCCATCCAGCAGGAGTGTTCCTGCTCATGCACCGCCTTGTTCTGTACAGGTGTGTATTCTGATATAGAATACTCCAAGGCTGGAATGACAGGACGTTTAGCTTCATTGCTATAATTAAAATTTTGTCATTGTTTCTTGCCAGGATTCAGAGCCTGAGAATAGAAATGTGCTGAATACAGAAGGTATGTGGTTGTGGACTGAGGAAACTCATTATCTCATTATCTTAAGATGCTCTTTGCTATCTGTCATGTCTCCAGAGTATTAAGTTTGATTTTCTGTTTACAACATCATATACAGTGCCCATACAGTTTCAGCATGTTCCATTCACACAGTTAAAAATAAGTACAACTACTGTTTCTATTCTCCCAAACCAAATTAAATTTCTTGTGTGTTTGTTGTTTTCCTATAGTGTGTGTTCCAAAAGAATCCATCAACATAACACCAAGGTCTGCACCCACCCAGTTTACATTATAATGCATGTGAACCCCCCCCCAATCCAATTTTACATGTTAGACATGGTTTCAGGGTTAAAGGGAAAGTCCACTTCACTGCAGTGCCTGATAAACAGCTGAAAACAAAAGAGTCACCAGACTCAGTGGCAACAGGTATGTTGTTGTAAAACAAAAAAAGCCAAATGTAGCACGGGATAAACTGATGATGTTGATATTGTCTCCCAGGAGGACCGATACAGGCTCCTCCACCAATTGAACCTCTCCCCATGCATAAGGCAAATATGGAAGATGAACAAGCAGAGGAAGAGGATGATGAAGACCGGAAGGCTCCAGTGGAGCTGTTAGTTGAGGTAAATTGACTGATGATGATCTCAGGTTTCATGCTCTGTTGTTTTTTGTTTATAGATGCCAAAAATATTTCAGTGCTTGTTTTCAGTTTTACTTCTAGTCAATTTGAATATATTTCACTGGGAAAAAATGAAACTCAAGTGAGGCTGTTATGGTTTCAGTTCCTCCAGGCTGTGAAGGACAGAGACTTGCAGCTGGCCAGCAAACAGTGTCAGATGAGTATGTAACCTACGTCATCAACTGTATGTCTGTCAGTCAGTAAATCAGCTAATGGTGCCAGTTCTCTTCTTGTTCCAGTTCTCTTCTATGAACCAGACCATCCTGAGGCCTCACAGTTTCTCCCGCTGATCCAGAAGAAGCTGTTGGAGGGTGAGGGTTCCCCCTCTTCATATAAACACAAACACTTATGCTGCATGCTCCAAAAAACACTATGACATTGTATAATCCCCCTTTCTCTCAGAGCAAGAAGCAGAGGAGAACACAGAGGAAGAAGAAGATGGTGATGCTGATGATTCTGATGACTCTAGAAGTGATGAGGAGTCCTCTCTGAGCTCAAGTGTATGGTCTTCATCTTGCTCCTCTTCTTCACTAGCTGGTGAGGAGGAAGAAGAAAGGTGGGTGAACAAACAAGAGCCAAGTCCTCCTTTTAACACTTCCTCCTAAATCTGTTGCACCTATCCAGCAGAAGCAATGTCAGGTCCTGTCAACAGAGACCTCTGCTGATCCAGCATCTTGTTACTTTATTTCAGTCTAGAATATTACTGCTGACCGTCACAGTCATTGTGCATTTTGTAGATGTTGTGACAAACATGTGTTTTGTCTTTTTTTCATATTTCACCTGCAAGTAAAATTTTACTGTGGACAAAGCTGATGCCCCTGTTTCTTTTTTCCTGGAAACAAACATGAAATCTTTGGAATACAAGGCCATTAAAATATTAAGGTTAACTTTACTGATACCGATTTAATCGTCAGTGGACCTGCAAATGAAACCTTGTAAAATGGACACAGTATAAAAATTTATGAGTAGAAATTCACGGTACCAGATAAAGGTACTTTAATGGTGGTTTGTATCCATCAATACAGTACATATGGTCAACTGATGTCATTAGAAACAATAAGTTCTGGACATTTTGAGAACTACCTGAGAGATTTTCACAAAGCTGACTACTGTAAGTTTATCATTTATATCCAAAATAATGCAGATTGCAATTTATGACTGTATTAGAACACAACTTAAATAACCTATACAGCCAATATTTTTGTCATCAGCCATTACACTGAGTGCTCTCTAGTCAGTCTCAGAAAGACTGCTGACATTGTACTGAGTCCACAGCTTAGACAAGTGGTCCCCAGTGTTTTTGGCAGCAGTTTTCTCTACTCAGATTGTTTCAACTTAAGGGCTACTTAGATTCATAAAGATGTGATGATATCCATTATTTTAGAAAACCAAAAAAGAAAGAAAAATGACCAACACAACATTCTACCAACATGCTAGCAGTTTTGCAAGGCTGTGGTTAGGAACAGTGGTGCTAACATCAGCATGTGCACAATAAAAAGTGCTAACATGCCGATGCTAAGCATATGTAATGTTAATCCCATTCGCCATTTTTAGCATTTAATATCTTTAGCATGTTAGCATACCAAGATTTGAGATAAGCAGTAACACCAAGTAGAGCTGAGGCTGATGGGAACTGAAATGTTGACTGGATGGTGGTACAAATGAAAAGCCAGGCAATCAGCAAACATATTACAGTTCACCCCGAGAGGTTTCAAGGCATTGTACTAAAACTGTCATGTTCATAGTGGTGCTACGGGAAAACCCAGGGGTTCACTATAGCAATTAGGATTAATCAACTGTTAAAGAATGTATAAAACTATATGCAAATTAACTAAGTAGATTCTTGAGATATTTCACGGGATAAGTTAGACCTTTGACCTGCTGATGGCACTAGTGGATTCATCATTTGAGCATCATGGATATTTATACCAAATGCCAGGGCAATCCATCCAATAGCTGTTGAGATATTTCAACCTGGACCAAAGTGGTGGAACGAGTAACCAACATTATCATCCTTAGGGCTAGGCTGCTTGCATGGTTAAAATAAGCGTAACACTGTGTCACAATGCCATAAAAGGTTTATCTTCTATTCACTGTAATCATCTGGTGACCCCCCTTATTCTAGTGGGAAAACCTGACTCTCAACTTGTGGTTTACCGAAAACACAGTGGAGAGAGTGAGGAGAAGGTAGAGCGTTTTTAGAGGGTTTCTTGCTTTAACGCTTCATTCTTCACTGAATTTTCCCACTAAAATGTTTCCAGCAAATATTTTTCAGTTAGCTGTGCAATTTGATGCAGATGCTCAGTCAACTATGTTTTTGTTGTTTGCAAAAAAGTCATAATTTACCCAGAATTCATAGCAAATTAGTCCTATTTAACTTTTTGTAATATAAATGCCAAGCCATCGGTGTGAGTTCACGCCGCAGATGGCTGCCTCGGTTCTGTACCGGAAACAAATTCCTTGTGTATGTAACATACTTGGGCAAATAAAGGTGATTATCCTGATTATAAAATTAATATCAGATAAAAGGAAGTTGAAAACCTTTTTTTATGAGAAAATCTATAGAAACATTAGATTTAAACACTGGTTTTGTCCCAGGTGAAGATGTTCTCAGCCCAGTAAACAGATGGTTTTTCACCATTTTAGGTTTTATTCGTGCTTTTACTTGCCACCCAATAGCACCCAAAGTGGAGAATTAGTGGCACCAGCTGTTTATCTTGATGAACCAGCTCCTAATTTCCCTAAAATGGTTGTAGTGCTTTTTCTTTTGCTGATTGTGACATTTGGAACCTGACTAATGCGACTAAGTACCAGAGTAGCCGAGGTCACAAATGAGAACAAGTGACCCCAAAAAGGAAACCACGCTACCAACAAAACAGTTTCTACAAAGTTTTTTAAAACAGTTTTATTAGGAAATACTGAGCTGTTAAAACACTGATATTTTTATTTAGTAAGATCTAAATGAACACTCATACATGTATAATTAATTCACATGAGCAAACCTATGTTTTAAATGTTGGCACTGTACCAGTAAAGGTCTTTTTTATAACTCTTTTTGAGCTGACAATCAAGCACTTATTGTGCACACTGTATCTTCACTTTGATAAAGGTTACACACTCTCTCTCACACACAGCTAATCCATCCTAGGGAAATGCTGTCACCCAGTATAAGAGTTATTATCACATTGATTATCTTTCTGTTTCATCTCTATACATCATCTATTAAAAGAAAGTGTGAGCACCATCTGATAAATGCTGTATAATTTGTAGAGGCTGAACAGGCATAATCGCTGGTCTCTGACCATTTAGGGGACTGGTACACAGGCGTGAGGTGACCGTGAAGACACCAAGTCAGTGCCCACCAGGCTGGACTCACTTCTGTGAACATCACCATTTAAAAAGGGTGTGTCATCTCTGGAAGGTATTACAGTCAGCCCCTGAAGGGTGGATGGATGGGTGATGGGTGATGCATGCTACTCTCTCCACCATTTGGTGCTGTATTATGAAAAGACTTTATTCTGGGTTAAGTAGCCTGGCAGATACAAAAGCCCCTTACACAGCCTCCACAGGTCATTGAAGTTGAATAGATACAGAGTTACTGTAAATAGTCTGACTGTGTATCTGTTGTTACCAAAATCTATAATGCAACACTTTTACATCCCAGGGTCAGTTCACACAAACTCACTCATAACACACGTCACATTCAGGTCGCCATCCTCCACCCACACCTGGAGACACACGCAGCCAGGGGTGAGGCGGGTGTGCGTCACTGGTATTTTTCCTTTTGCTTCTGAAGCTTCTTAAAGTGGCTTGCGACTGTCAGTAGCACTCAAGGAAGCTTCATTAGTCGTCAGAGGGAGGCAAGGCTGTGACTCATGCCAGCCTGAAGAAACCAATGGGCAGCCGGAGCCCGAGATATAAATAACGAATAAAAAATATTCTTAAGGGAGAAAGGGTGAGTGGCGCGCCGCTGGATGGGATTGTAGTGCGCTCCGTTGGTATTCCGCCCTCGCCGCCACCGGACGGTTTCTTGTCGCGCCTTTAGGTGGCAATTGTTCCATCTAGTTATAGTTTTCGGTGGACTCGACAACCTGTGCGCCAGTGTGCTGGTAAGATATCTTCTCCTTTCGTTCCAGCAAGCAGCCTTGATCGTTAAAGATTGTCTAGATCAAAACGAGTTATTTGGGAGGGGGGGATATATAAACAAACAATAAATCTGCCAAAATTCACGGGGTCGCTTGAAAGAAATTTGTGCCAGATGAGTGACAGATCGAATTCATTAGTTGTTCAGTCTGTGTCTCACATCCTGATGACAGTGAGTGATGATCGTTTGGGATATGTTTGTTCCAAGAGCAACTTAATTGAAATGTCGATTGCTGAGTTAATAAGTGAATGACGTAGGTTTATGTGTGTGGACATAAGAGTTATGTTATCAATATTAACGATGGCAAGCTGATTGTATCCTTGTGCTTGTTTTTGTTCTTTGGAGATATCCGCTGTTGGCAGTGCTGTGGATTATCCCAGACATAAAGCCCATATATTTACACGGTCTGGTGCCGCTCTGCCAAGACCATCTAAATAGGGATGGAAATTTGGCTCCAACGATACAAAAAACTGGGGCTACTGTAACGGATATCTAATTCTTTTTGTCCAGTCCCCCCACCCATAACTTTTAATTTGACCTTTATTTAACATTGACTGTGTTGTGAACATTAATGCCACATACAAATATGTGAGGAATATCCATCTCCAACATGAGTGCCGTTCTCTCCAAACCGATTCCCTTACAGCTCGTTAGCTGTGAATCGTTTACATTTTCTGATCTACTCCTTGTAATTATTTAAAATATAGCTATATATTGCTTCTGAGTTGCATCAGCAGACCTCTAGCCATTTCTAACAGTGGACCGTTTTGTTTGCAGTTCAATTATTCCCTAGCTGGAGATCAGATAACAGAGGAGTGATGGCCGCATCGGAACCGAGAGCCACCGGCGAGGAACTGGACCCCAACTCTGCTAACTTAAGACCTCCTTCAACAAGTAGGTCCTTTCGCTCCTCCCCTTCATAATAACACCGTGATCCTGTATCGACTCCCGGGGCTACATCCTCGTTAAGGTTGTCCCTCTCCGCGGCGCTCAGGCTGTGCTTACAGACAGGGACTGGGTGCTATGCGATGTGTTCCCAACACCTCACCACCCGCACACCTCTGTCTGCCTCTCCGTCTCTCTCTCCCCTCCTTCTCTGTCTGATAAAAGCGAGTCTGGCCCGGGCCATTTGGTGTGTGGGCTCCGTCGTTAATCACTCCGGTTAAAAACAGAGCCATCACAGCTGCCTGTCGCTGTCTGGCTGCTCGGCAGTGCGCACCGAGCGGTGGCCCTGGCGCAGAGAGAATGCGCCATTAAGGCACTGATATTTAGAACAATCCAAGAGCATTTTCATGATCAATAAATATACATTTTGCAATCGAGAATATATTTCTGATTTGAATGATCTGACCTATTGCAATCGCGCTTTCGTTTCCCGCGGTTTAATTTTGACCCGTTCCTCAAAAACACCACCCGCTTTTATTTATTAACATTTATTTATGTCATAATTCGTCTTATCTTGTTTTGCAGTCTGTTTAGGCCCCCGGGACTGTGGGATATAGACTATTTGATCATAGAGAAATATTTTTTACTGTTCATTTTTTTTAAATGTGGCTGAACCTTTTTAATTTATCCTAATGTTAGAAGCCTTTGAGGTATACTCAAAATCTGCAGTGCACATTTCATTTACAATTTAATTCCACGTTTTCTTTATCGAATAAAATATTTTAAAATGCTTTATTTATTTGTGGCCCTTGGATATTATTATAAAAATCTCAGATTTATTTCCAGTGTGAATTTGTATTTCTCCTAAAAGCCCATTAAGAGAGAGATGTTTGTTGTGTTTGGCTTTCTCGTACACTGCTGCTGCTGGATGTTGCCATTATCTCTCTGCCACGCTCCATCTCACGCCTGGCGGCATGTACTGTCTGTGCGTGCTTGTGCTTGTGCGTGTGTGTGTGTGCGCGTATCTGTCTGTGTAGCCCTAGGTCTCAGCGTCTTAGGCTTTGCTACAGCTTCTCTCAGTAAAAACTGCTTCAGTAAATTTAAATGCTTGTTTCTGTTTTGGCGGATTTCCATCAGGAAGCCTGGCCGCTGCTTTCTATTCCCTCTGGCTTCAGTTCTGTCTCTGCTCACGCATATCCACGCTCGAGTTTGTGTGTAGCAGTGCGTGTGCATGCGTGATGTGTGTCTGTATGAGACGCACTATGCTATACGTTTCTGCATCAAGTCAGTAACAGACTCCCCGGTCACAGACATTACCAGCTCGCTCTAGTCACATAGTGTGTTTCACTCAATTAATTCCTGCCTTCTTCAGTGAGCTCATTTCACGGGTGTTAATTTCAGTCCGCCCCTTAGCTGGGTGTGTGAGCTGTGCGGGCCACTCTCGTTCCCTATTGATTGAACTTAAATCGGAAATGATATGTCTCATCCCCTTATCATCCGGTAGGAAGAAAAACTAAATTCTTGCTTCTCGACAGCAGTTATTCAGAAACGCACTGCTATAAGAATCCCCATATGAAAATACACAGCAACCTGAGTACAGTTTCACACACCTGGCCAGGAGCCGTGCTCATCACTCCACTGTGCCCACTGTGCTGCCCCAGCTTTGCTGTGTGTCCATCAGCTGCCTGTCCTCCTGTTTCCGCGGCCTGCACATGACCATCTCAAACGTTCATTCTGTTTTAGCTTACGAATATGCGTGGATGCACGGATGCACGCGGAAACTGGGGATGAAGATTTGTGGTAAGTATGTAAATCCTCCCCACATGCAATATTCCTCATGCCTTTTTTGACATCTTAGAAAAAATGCTATTTGGGAACAACCTGGTTTTCTGGCATATGGACATTTCACCCGTTGCGATGATTCTCCATAGAGTGCTGATGTTCTTTTTACTTCTTTGTCTTCAAAAAAGTCACCACAGAGTTGCTGTTATTCTTTTTTTTAAACCCACCCCGAGGCCTCCTGAAATAGGCCATGATAAAGGCTGTTCAGAGCAGTGCCGTCCACGACTGTCACTGCGCCTTTTCGTCTTCTAAAGGTCAGTGGACATTAGCCTGTAGGTCTGGCGAGAGCCTCGGATAACCCCTCCGACGGGCCCTAAGCCCCTGCATGTCTTTTCCATTTCACCAGCAGGAGAAAAATTCACAAGACAAGCCGGGAAATATGGACTACAAAGCCCAGAATGTTAAAAATATTAAAAATATTCAGGAAACAATGGACTATTTCCATTTCCCATTCACATATTTCTTGAGAGATATTTCTTTGAATTTCGATTAATGTAGCATTACTATAAATTTCACCAATGCAATAGCGCATGCATCGTTGTGAAGAGGGCGTGTTTATTGTTTTAATCATTTGAAGGGATTTGTCTCTTTAAGTGACTCAAAAAATTAAATTTATGGAAAACATGTTTCCCTGCACCTTTGCAAATGTAGGTGAATAGGGCCTTCATGATATGATCCATTCAAGAAGGATATTATTGGCTGTTTGTTATAGCAGAAATCAGTTAAGACCCAACGATTGAACATGTTTGACATTTCCATTTTTGAGAATGAGAAATTGGCCAAAGGATTCAGAATGAAAAAGGTTATTTCTGTGTGAAGACTATGGCAATTAAAGAGTCTCAAATACTGGTGTTATTTAGGATTTAACGAACAAGATCTGAGTTTCTACTGAAACATATAAGAGAGAATATTTCATAGCTTCCAGATGATTTCAGTGTTTCGCGCACAATTAGGCCCACCCATTATTCTGCAGATATAGAGGACCTCCACGCACAAAACCGACCACTCATGCAAAACATACAGTAAAGGATTTGCAAAGGTAGACTGCTTCAGGGTTTCGTGCATCCTTCATTAACTCTTCTTTATGGGGGTGCGTATTTATTGGCTGCGCTATGGGTCAGAGCCGCGGGCTCATTAGTCTGTGTGGACGAGAGGGATGTGGTTGTGATGTCACCGGGTGGGGCGGGCACCCACACACATACTAGTGGTTCCTCGGTTGGTGTTTGTGTCTGAGGGCTAAATTGCCCTAAAGTTGACCTCCATCAGCAGAATTCAAGCCATTAGGAGCTGACTTTAGATAAGTATTTTTAAGCTGTATCACCACGTAGGCTACATATTTATAAAGACATTGTTTATTAGTCTTTCTTTAATTCTTAATTTTATCTGATTTGGTCTCGCTATTTCGCGTTTCACATTGTGCGTGTGATGGAGGTGTTTGATGATAACTCCTGTCCTCCGCCGTGTAACACCCTAGGGTTCCTGCAGAAGAACAACAACCTGGAGGAGAGGACGAGACTCGCGGGACAGAAGAGCCTGTTCTCGCTGGACAACAGTGACAGGGACACGCGCTTCCGCCGCACAGAGACCGACTTCTCCAACCTGTTCGCCAGAGGTAGGCCTGCTCCCGGGCCGCTGCTCCAGCTAAACCTCCAGCGGCGTAAAAGAAGTCAATGCCTGTTCCTCCATTGACGCGGGCTGCACGGTCACATTAGTCATGGACTCCTTACTTCAAATTCGATCGATTATTTGTCTAGATAAATCAGTTAAAGGCCCCGCATCCATATTTTCAAATGTCCTAATTGTTACCTCTTTTGTTATTATGTTTTTGGCCGATAAAATAATTGTGATGACCTACAGACTTAACTGAGAACTTTTTAAGTTGGGCTGGAATATAGCCCGTAGTAATCTTTTGTTAGGCTACTGAAAATTAAAAGATTCAGACTTTTTGCTGTAGAAAGTGTCCCGAATGTTGTCTCTGTGAAACATTTCCACTTTAGTGTGTAGTATATTAATTAGACGCTGTCAAAGCGATGCCTATGTCGGCTAACAGCTAACAGCCCGCTAGCCAGACCTCGGGCTGAACTGAGCAGCTAGGTCAAACGGTCAGCCTACGTTTTTCACCGGAATAATGATTAAACCTAAAAATGGTAGGAAAATAAAATAAGATTTGGACATATAATAAATGCTGAACGCTTACTAAAAGAAGTTAAGTTAAACAATTAAGGTTGGCCCAGTATTGAAATCAAAAATTTCCACCACCTTTCTACTCACCTAGACCTACTGCCAGCCAAAAATGGAGAGGAGCCTACACTACAGTTTCTGTTGGAGGTGGTTGATATCCTCACCAACTATGTCAAGAAAACCTTCGACCGCTCTACTAAGGTGCTGGACTTCCACCACCCTCACCAGCTCCTGGAGGGCATGGAGGGTTTCAACCTGGAGCTGTCCGACCAGCCCGAGTCCCTGGAGCAGATCCTGGTGGACTGCAGGGACACACTCAAATATGGCGTCCGGACAGGTAAGCTAACGCAGGGTGTGAGTCACCGAGGAGGAGCCGGGGAATATGATCTAAAAAGTCAATCTCAGCTGAATAATTCATATGGTGTTGCATGGTAAATATAGTGCTGCATATTAATAGGGGAGTTATGCTGGAATGTGTGGGAATAAAAGTCAATTAGGCTTTTACTCACGTTTCAAAATAGGCTATGCTATTTATTTATAGTTTGCCACATACTGTATGTTAGCATACAAAGCATAGCCTTCTATAGGTTAATATCATAGCCCCAAAATGATGATGTTTACTTCTACAATAATGTTCCTATATTATGATGACACTGATAATATTACTATGTAGAGGTGAATTAAAAACAAACTATTATAGATTATGTTGTTTGCCAGATAGTGCACAGCCTATTAGGACGGTTGCCTTTATTTACGGTCCTCCTGGTAATTCAGTTGACATCCTCCTTCTCTTTTTCCTCGACTTATTAAAGCAAGTGTCGCCTGAGGGGATCCTAACACAGGCTGTTTCAAGCTGTTAAAAACGACTGTGCTCAAACTGTCCCTCGGGTCTCATACATCACACAGGGTCTACTGTGTCTACAACTCAAACCCACTTTTCACCTGGAGATGTGGTGGTTTTTTGTGTTTTCCAAAGCATTTTGGTAGCTGGGGCCTGAGTGGAGGAGCTGTCCACGGTGCTGAGCTGCTTTTTCTTTTGGCTCACTGTTAAACAGCACTGTCAGCTTCATGCAGCCGTCATATTAGATTTGTTTCACAAGTCTTGTTACCAGTGTAATTACAGTATACTCATTAGTGCTAGGTCAGATCCCTTAAGTTTCATGGTTGACCTGGGGAATACAAAATGATACTCAAATGACTTTGACCACTGAAATGATTACCTTTTTCTTTGTGGTGCTGATATTATTGTTATTATACAGGGTGAGCCACAGAAGAGTAGCCTGCCTCCAAAACAATCCACTTGCTCATGGGCTACTTTTCCGTGGTCCACCCTGTATTATTTTCACACTCAGAGTTAGGTGGTCAGTTTTTATTATGAAGGCCACTCTAGACTGTATATACAGTATCTTCATAAAGCATCAAGTGTACTCAGGGCAAGGCAAACATAGGTGCCTGTTCTTATTGTGTTTTCTTGATAAAAACATGATTGCCTGACCTAATGAGCATGTGTATGTTTTTATGCTTAGGTCACCCACGCTTTTTCAACCAGTTATCAACAGGTCTGGATATCATTGGTTTGGCCGGGGAGTGGCTCACTTCCACTGCTAACACCAACATGTAAGTCATACTGCTCTCTCAAAGTTATTTATACAGGGTAAACACTTCTATATGTCTTGACAGGATGACTGATATTTCCTGTCTGTCGGCCTCTAGAAATAGCTCCCAGTAATCATAGTAATCATAATATACTGGCATAGTGGAAGTGCTTCTGATGTCCCTCTCAGCTTGCTCCACTGCTGGTCAAAGCAGCCTCTGAGGGCAGTTATATAAGTGTTTTGCTTGTCTTGTAGAGACTTTGTATGACAGATGGTGGGCTTCCACTGTACAGTGTATCAGAGGCAGCCAACCCCCAGGGGTGGTTAGATTGCATATTGATCTCAGGTCACAGTTACATGGTGGCCCAGTCTGATAGAGGGCATGAACCACATCACACACCCTCAGCACAGATACACACACACAATTACACACAGGCTGTAAATAAGCTATAACTCTGTGTTATGATCACTGGAATAGAATGACGAACATGATAACTACTGTACAATACCAGAATACAAAGAACACATGCACACACAGAGTCCTGTAAAGTGGCTGGTAAAGTGGCTTGATGTTTACAATTCTGATGAATAATTTGTCACTTAAAGTTGATTTTCTCATTGGAGGTAATTAAATTCTTCAATAAAATAATTGATAGTCCTCCATATTTACAGTATTGAGACTGCCTTTAAATAGTATCCAGAGAACACAATGTACAACATTCATACATAAGGCTCCATCTAACAATTACTGCCATTATCAGTTCATCATCCAATATTTTCTTGGCCTAAAGAAACTCAATATTTTTATTACATAAGACAAAAACATAGAAAAATCCTGAGAATGTTGGAGCTAGAACAAGGAAATGTTTCAAATATGTATCTAAAAAATTTGGGTAAATTAACAATTTTTTTTAAGAAAACCCATAATTGAGCTACAGATAGAAGGCAAAAAAACTGACATAATATCACTTAAAACAGGTTTCAAAGCAGAATCAGTCACTTAAATGGTCAAGTATAACAAGTCTGCAAGAGTTTGCCTCAGTGACACTGAGTTAGAGATGTGTAGACACCCTAGAATGTCATGGTATCATTTGACATGTAGCTGCAAAGACAGCAGAACATTTGCACTGCAAAGAAATGGCACAGAAAACAATGAACAGAAGACAAAACACTCTATAGACTATAAACACAAATTGAGCATACAGTATTTGTAACAACTGGGGCCTCTGTCTTTCTCCTATACTGGCTGCTAAAGAAAAGATAAGGATAATCAACCAAAAGATGAAGGAAAACTGAGACACTTCATTTACTCCATTTTCAAAACATTAGCCTAAGGAACTAACCCCCCAACCCACCACCACCACCACCACCTCTGAAAAAGAATTCTTGTCTCCTCCTCCTATACAGGGTGAATGAATTCACACACTTACATGTGCAGTCCATGCACACTTTCACATATAACACATACAAACACACCAGTGCTGGCTGTCCCAGATACAGCAGTTAAGGTTTCCAGCCCATTGACTACAGGCTCATTGTGAGCCGGTCTTAGCAGATAGGCCAGCTGGGCCCCACGCTGACACACAATGTCCTCTGGCTGCACAGGAAACCCTGTCACACTGTGGACACTGGCTGCTGCAGCTCTCTGTGGGACACTCATTCCAGTTCTATTGTCCCTATGGACACAGACTGACTCAGTGGTCCTTTGATGGGCTGAGAGGAGAGTGTACTTGGGGGTCAGAGGGTTAGTTACATAGACACGCACACACGCATTCAAACACAGACTCACACACATTGAGTGCCCTTGATGATGATAATAAGGGCATTTAGGGGCTGTCCTTAGAGACAGGCAGGTGACTGAGGGGTAATTTTCGCCCTGAAAAGACCAATGATTGGCTCTGATTGCGATAATAATCACCATTATTTTCATTACAGCTTGAAATGACTCAGAGGGAGAATTTTAAAAAGGTGCACTGGATTTGTTCCTTTTCTACTGTGGTTGGGGTGAAAGTGACACATCCAGGATATAAGACATTTTTGTGCTTCATATATAGACCATAGTTCAGTTTTTTTTTAACAAAGAGCATCCTATTTTTTGAAATTAGGGCATTGAAAGGCTGCAAAATGAGCTGTTTTGATGTTCTGCTGTCACTCTTCATAGACAAAGCCCAGCAATTATAATGTGGGCTGGTGAAATGACTAGAAGCTAATGTTCCAATCAACTCTGTACCATGGGTTAGTCCTGACATCCTAGTTTTTAATTTAGTTATGATCTATTCTGGACCACAGCTGTCACTCTTGCTTTTCCCTTCTTATTGTTGGCTAGTTCTTTTTGCCTTGTTGTCTAGTTTCTTTTCTGTACACTTTTCTCACTCTGCATCCATACCATCCCCTCCTCTTCTTTTGTTGTGCTTTGTCAGTTTCCTTCAGTGCATTGTCTCCCTTCACCTCCCCCTCCTCAGTGCCTTTATCCCAGCTCCTTTCTACACAAACTAGAAAATGCTTCACTCCTTGTTGCTTGTGAAGAAAACAAGCGAAGAGATGATGTTATTGTGGTTTTAGACTCTGGATGTGGTGGGGATGGAAGTGGAGGAGTGATATATAACTGGCCTCATCAGAGGCAGGGTAACGGGGATCAGTCCTAAGTGTGTGTGGGGGAGGCAAAGAGAGCTCAAGCCTCACTGTACCAATGTGACACATTTGACTTCTCCAGCAGCGTTGTTCTTTTCCTGTCCATGGAGCTACCAGTCATTTTATCTTATGTAAGCTGGCAGAGAGGTCAGACACGTGGCTGTTGTGTTTTAAAAGCCTCTCTAAATAATTCTTCATGTTATGAAAATTTATTTTTGTCTTTTAATTGTTTCCCTTTTCTTTCTTTTAATGAAATAATTCATAATCACGGCATCTTCCTCAGTTTCTATAGTTTGGGTTCAACAGAGGCTGTTATCTCTTTAAAACACTCTCTCTTCCTGTCTTTATTTCTCTCACACACACATCCTCTCAGACATCAAATCAGGCCCATTCAGACTCACCACTGAGATTGGCAGTACTGACAGATAGCCATCACAGCTTTGTGTGCTTTAATTAAACTACTGAGTGATTTTAGAAGGCATTTGAATATGAATGTTTGCTGCCCGTCTCCTGTCGGAGACTTTTTAATTAGCCCAGGCAGCAAAAGCTCCAGTTTGTGCTCTGAGGATGGAATTATGAGGATGAAAAACCAATGTGCATGTGTATTAGTGTGTCTGTGTTTGAGCCTACTGAGCTGCAACTTTGTGTGTGTAGGAAACTTCTTTTCTCCTCATGCTCTCAAATCAGTTGTTCGTGGCTCAGCTGTTGCAGTTGTTTTAACTGACTTGCTGAATTAATACATTTTGTGAATTGATTGACAGGTTCACCTATGAGATTGCTCCAGTGTTTGTACTGATGGAGCAGCTGACTCTGAAGAAAATGAGAGAGATGATTGGTTGGCCTGGCGGAGAAGGAGACGGCCTGTTTTCACCAGGTTAGTCTATAAATAACAGTGTGTGCTGTTTTGGTAGAAATTACTGTAATAAAATGACTTTTCCCATAAACAAGAAGTCTGTGTAGTTATTTCAGTTCTTGTAATAATACTACAGTTGTGTTTATTCCGCTGTCCAAGGTGCTGATGTGTCTGTCTCTACTCCACAGGGGGCGCCATCTCCAACATGTACAGTGTAATGATCGCACGTTACAAGTATTTCCCCGAGGTCAAGGCCAAGGGCATGTCTGCTGCTCCTCGACTTGTCCTTTTCACCTCTGAATATGTACGTGACCATGAACACACACACACTGCACTGTAGATATTCTGATAAAGTAGGCACTATGTTTCACTGAGTGTAGATTTGGGCAGGCCTGTTGTACTCAGTAAAGAATTGCACAGTTGACAACATATCAGGAAGCAATAACCTTAGATATGCAGCTATAACCTTACTGAATTTAGCTCTTATTTTTGTGAAAGATGAAGTATATACATGATGTTATGTCCCTACAGAGCCACTACTCCATAAAGAAGGCTGGAGCTGCTCTGGGCTTTGGTACAGAGAATGTGATTCTGCTGAGCACAGACGAGAGGTAGGAGATTCTCCTGACAAATTTAAGGCCACGTTCAGTGTAAAATAATGTGTGAGACTGAATAGTGCAGAGACCTTTATGATGCCTGTGACATATGTATGAATGCAGGATGTTTGAGATGATGCTTTACAATCTTTCAGAGGCAGAGTAATTCCTGCAGATCTGGAGGCCAAGATCATTGATGCTAAACAGAAGGTCGGTGTCTTTTTTATTTGTTTGGTTATTTCTTTCTTTGTCTTTGTCTCTCTTATTATGGTTTTATCCCCCTTGTATACTGCAGGGCTATGTGCCATTGTTTGTGAATGCCACAGCTGGTTCGACTGTGTACGGTGCTTTTGACCCCATCGGTGAGATCGCCGACATCTGTGAGAAGTACAACTTGTGGCTCCATGTTGATGCAAGTAGTTGACAGTGGATCGTTTGCTGTAGTATTTTGATAGGAATAGAGGTGATGCTATGTTTTTGCCTGTGGACCCTTCTGTAACAGTGCTGTTTTGTTTCCTCAGGGAGCATGGGGTGGTGGACTTCTGATGTCCAGGAAGCATCGCCATAAGCTTAGTGGAATTGAGAGGTGAGTACTTTGGAATAGATGGATCCCTCTGTATTGTTCTCTCAAGAAACATTTTAAAAAACTACAAAAGCACATTAACACATACAGTATATTAAACTTCGCAGGGCCAACTCTGTCACATGGAACCCCCACAAGATGATGGGCGTGCCTCTACAGTGCTCTGCAATCCTAGTCAGAGAGAAGGTATTGTAAACACAACCACAAGTGAATATGTTCATAGTCATATTAGCTGTGACTCAATTCGGGGGCTCCGTCCTATGAAGGATGTGGTCTATGAAGCTGTGGCCTTTGTAGCTGTCATAGATTGCAAAAGCGAGATCATGGGCCAAACTGCAGCCTTTGAAGGATGCGTCCCCTGAATAGAGACACAGCTATCATTTCTCATAGTACAGTAGCAGTCCATTCAGTTTTAGGAAGTGCTAACAAGCCATGAACACAAGAGTGTTTGTAAAAAAGGTTAACATTGTACTCATTCAATGTGTTTTCAATAGGGAATCCTAGCGGGATGTAATTCCATGTGTGCTGGCTACCTCTTCCAACCAGACAAACAATATGACATCACATATGACACAGGGGACAAAGCCATCCAATGTGGGCGGCACGTCGACATCTTTAAGTTCTGGCTCATGTGGAAGGCAAAGGTGAAATGAGGGAGACGGATCCAAACACTCACTGTATACCATTAAACAGATTTTTAACCAGCATATAAAGTGTTCTTGAAGCCAGTTGGTGTATCATAAAAGATACTGTAGCTTTAAACTTAATGTGGCCTGCTGTAATTATTACCTGACCACCTTTTCTTCCCCTGCAGGGCACCATAGGGTTTGAGCAGCACATTGACAGGTGTCTGGAGCTGTCTCAGTACCTGTACAACAAGATCAAGAACAGGGAGGGATATGAGATGGTGTTTGATGGAGTGGTGAGCTTTCCCAGTTTTCTCTTCTGTCAATGTTGTTTTGAATCACAATAGAAAATTCAATATTATATCGTTTTATTTTCTGGCATGACAGAACAGTTCTGTGAGTTCTCTGTTCACTGAAATTATCTTAATGAATTATATTTTTAACTGTTCTCTGACATAGTCACAGTGTTTTCTTTTTGTCTGATGTAAATTTTAAAAAGATCCAGAGGTTTATGTGTACTAACAATTTATTTCTGTTTGTAGCCCCAGCACACAAACGTTTGTTTCTGGTACATCCCACCCAGCCTGAGAGGCATGCCAGACGGTGAAGAGCGACGAGAAAAACTCCACAAGGTACACCACCTATCAGTCTATCACTTTCACCAATCACTGTGATTCATACAACCAATGGAAGATGTTTTCATAAATGTTATTCAGAACAGACTCCCCCTCAGAAATACAAAGCCCTGATTTTATTCTTTATCCACCAGGTGGCACCAAAGATCAAAGCAATGATGATGGAATCAGGGACCACCATGGTGGGCTACCAGCCTCAGGGCAATAAAGTCAACTTTTTCCGCATGGTCATTTCCAACCCTGCAGCTACCCAGTCTGACATCGACTTTCTCATTGATGAGATTGAGAGGCTGGGTCACGACCTGTAGGCCTCTCAGCCGTTTCAGTGCTAGTGACCAGAGGCCAAACCTACAGTGTTTTATCTGTAGTATTTCCATTGAGGAAAAACACTTGCATTGCTACAGACAGAGTAATGATAGGACATGTTTTACGTTCTTTCTGTCCACTCCATCTTTGCCTGAAACATTCTTATTGTTTCTCCAGCTGAAGAGCAATGAGAGAGACTTTTGCTCTGACTATGTCCCACATAGTTCTATACATAAAATATATAAAAGGTATCTGAAAGCTCCGGGTGCAACGAATATGCTCTAATGTATGTGTGTGTGCTGTGGAATTGTGTAATATTTGTATGTGTAATCTAGTTTCTTGTTCAGTGCAGTTCGTCTTTCAGCATATGCGCGCGCGCGTGTGTGTGTGTGTGTGTGTGTGTGTGTGTGTGTGTATGTGTGATAAAGCACTGAAAGGGAGAAAAGCACAGATCACAGTATAACAGAGTATCATCAGTTGTTCTGCTGTATCATACATTGGCTACACACAATTGAATTCAGCTGTACTTATATTTAATCTCAGTGCACCGATCTATTTGTCCTCAACAGTGTCCAAGCCCCCAAAGCAGTGTGTGCAGGTGTGTATGTGTCACACTGAGTGTATCCTATCATGTATTGTAGGCTAACACTGTGTTAAAAATAAGCTAATGTGCACAGCAGAGGCACCAAGTGTGTTATGCTGAGAGGTTTTAGATAACTCCCTGCAACTGATCCACAGTCTGCAATAGTTTTCCACTTAGAGGTTTAAGAGTTTGGCATCAAATGTCTACAACTATACCGAGTCTGGGTCAACTTTTAACTTGTAAAACGCTGGTTTGTTGTCTCATGCAATCACGTGATACCCATATGTGTTTATAACATTGTTAAAAAAGTAATATTTGATTAAATAAGAACAAATATTTATTGCATTTCCACTGTTTACAGATTCAGGTATTTTATTGTAAATGTATCTTTATGTGTACTACATGGTAATACATTTGTAAATGCAATCACAAGAACAGGAGGTTTATTTATAGTGACTTTGTCAGCCAAAGAAGCACAGTCGGGAACAGAGCAATCCATTGTCCCTCTTAGAGATTAGGTGTTTGTAAAATGTTACCTAATGACCCTCGACTGCGATGCAATTTCTATTGTGTGTTTCCGTCTGTGATTGTGAGTCTTTTTGATTGAATGTTGTGAGATGACTGACTGGCCTTCTAAAGTGTCTAATCGGCTGGCAGTTGTGCCAGTCTTTTATTTTGGAGAGAAGCACAAGGATAGCAGAATGTACTCGCGCCTCAAGACTTGGAAGATAGGATTGTGGTGTCTGTTTGAATCCAGATGCATTTACTGTAATATAGTATATTAAGTGTAATACATATTACCGGTATTCTCAATGTTATGAGAGCTCAGTGGAATATCTTGTATAAAGAGTTCCAGTTTTTGTCTTTGCACAATGTTCACCTTTCTTTCTTTCATTGTAAATGGATGTGTAATATAATGGTAGTATATAAAGGTTATGTTAAAGTATTTATGGTATTTCGGGACCATATGTAAGTGGCACAATTGCATACATCATATTTAAAGTAATCTGTGTACTGTATGTGACCAATCCCAGTCGTAAGGGAGTGTTTCCCAGGAGGTTTTCAGTAGGCACTTTAACAGAATCATACCATCTCAAAAATATCTTTAATAAAGTCTGTTGAAGGGAGAACTCGGTAAAGACTGAATTATTGAAACAGAAATTTCACAACCATCTTTCTGTGTTACCTCACAAACTGCATAGTCACACACACACACACACACACACACACACACACACACTTGTACATTATTGCTTCCCTGTCTAATCATCGTCTAGAGGGCTTTGTTTGGTCCCCAGTCGTGTGTCAGATTGGTTGGCTGTTTTCCTGCACAAAACTCTCATCTATTGCCAACTCCTTCTCTCCTTTATTCTTTCCCTTCTTTTCTCTTTCATCACCTAATCTCTTTGCTCTCTTCTTCCCTGCTCATTTACTCTTTCCTCACATTTGCTCCTCCCTTACTCTCTTCAGTTCCTTAATTTCCCTCCTCCTTTCTTGCCTTTATTCACCTGCAAGTCCTATACATTATTGCTAAGCAGTTGTTTTATAGAGAGACAGAGTTTGGTTACAGTGTTTTAAAACCTTTTCAGAAAGCACAACAATACCAGAGAAAGGAGAGATTGTGGAGGGACGCTTAAATTTACAGTTGAATTCAACAGCGAGAATATGATGTACTGCCACCGCCCTCTGGTGGCGACTTTCTGCTTGTACAATCACCCAAAACACACCGTGCAACCTAATGAAAAAGTCTGATAAAATACTTCACAGTTGTTACACGAAGGGTTTTAACATCACTCTATCATAACCATATTAATACATATGAACACAAATTAATTCAAGGTTGTGTTAGCCTTTACTTCCATTGACATTTTACAGTATGTGTCTCTGGGTCAAATTGCATTAAATCAGTTATATAGTGTTTAAAAGGAAAATGGGAGAATTCATAAAACGACAACATCATTCTGATAAAAAATGAGATAAGGTTTCAATGGTCTGTAAAGCCTGTTGATTGAAATTGCTCATTAATCATCAAAGAGCATTTGGTGGCAGATGTTTTTATCCAAGAGGTGCTGGTAAGAGCTAATGGAAAAAGAGAGGATCTGCACAAACAGTCCAGGGAATAGTGGATGTAAATTATTTTTGTCAGTTTCAGCTTATTTCAGAGAAAACTGTGCTTTTCCTTTTTCATGTGGAAGTGCACCCATATCTATATGTAACAAATGGCATTTGTGTGAATATAATCCCTCTAGTAAGGAAACTGTACTGTACTGCCCTATGCCCAATATAAGCTGTGAAATGAGAAGCCACATTTATATGGCACAATTAAATACTGGAACGGAACAATAGCTTCAGGGGTAAAAGATGACCTCACTTTTCAGGGTGACTGTAGTTTATTCTAAATAAATGAACCTACAACAGCCTACATTCCAGGTGTAGAAATATTACATTAGACATTGAACTCACTTTGTTTATTAAATGTAGTTTTATTTATTTAGTTTGTATTTACCCACCTGTATTTTGTTTTGAGCTAGGTATGTGTGCGCTGTGCATGTACATGTAAGCTATTTAGTTGTGTATGCATGATATTAGATGACATGAGCTTTAGACTCACTAGTCACTTTATTAGGTACACCTGTACAATTGTATGCAATTCAGCTACATTATATTCAGAGTTGCTTCTATATTTTTATCCTTCCCAGCTACATACATGAGAGGGTCAGAATATTAGGAACGCCTCTGAATAAAATGTAGTCAGTACTATGCAGTATAACACCACCTTTAACTTTTTAAACTAATTGAATTTATACATTTATGACACTTTCACCAAAAACAAAAATTATGAGCTTCAATAAACACAGATGTTCAGGTGGAAGCGTTGCATTTAATTGCATACAGTTGTACAGGTGTAATAAAGTGGCTGGTGAGTGTACTTCAACAATAGCCTGCATATCTTGTATGCATATACATAAAATACAAAGAAATATGGCCTGACAGATGGGCTTTTCAACTATCTGGTCCAGTTAGTCAGTTTATGTGTGTTTGTACGAATACATACGTACATATATTGTGAATGAAGTGGAGTTTATATAAATGCTTTGTATAGACAGAGAATTTTTAGAGTTCCTTATCACAGTGCTTTATAAACTGTAGGGATTTAAGGTAAAAAAAAAAACAGGCATGGGCTTTGTAGTTATCACTAAGGCCAGCTTCTTATATTCCCAAAATGTTATTTGCGATGTTTGTTTTTACAGTTTTTTTACAGTTCTGACTCTTTGCATGTTGTCTCTTGTTTTATTGTGGCAGAATATTTGCTTTTTGATTTCAGTGGTGATAATCACTTGAACGATGCTATAAACTGAGGCAGTGACTCAATAACAAATGAATACAAATTACTACAATATAAAATATTTAAAACTTGTCTCAAATAAATTGTAAATACAATGTTTTGAAAGATTTCAGTCAGTGTAGGCTACTGTGTCAAATCTATGCTTTGACACTTGCTGACCTCTGAATCTCACTGAATCTGCCTGAAATTTGGGAACTGAAATGACTTATTTCCTGCCACGTAACGGCGCATGCGCACCACTCACCTAGTTGTTATGTGACGTGTACCCCGGTGTGTGAAGTGTTTAGGTAGCTTGCGGCCGCTGGGAAACAAGCTGCCACAAAACACCCAAAGAGCCTTAAAAGCGCGAAATAATGGGAGGATCGCAGAGTGTGGAGATACCGGGAGGTGGTTCCGAGGGCTACCACGTCCTCCGGGTGAGTTTTTTAGCTTTCACAGCCTGCTGTTAAGCGTTAGCTAGCTTAGCATCCGGTGTGAGGTGCAGGGTTCCTTGCTCTGTGTGTTGACGAGAGCCTGGGGATGAATGCTGGGGCCTCCGGATGGATAACACTCAGCTTGTTAAGAGAACTTGAATATGAGAGTTGTCAGTGCGGTTTTTCGTTTCTTCTTATGTTGAGTGCTTATGCTTGGCTTTGTTTTGAGGTTGTGACTAGGACGGCTTTAGTGACAAACCTACAATGTACAGTTTAACACTGGTCACCCTGTTCTAAACTCCCATGCCTGCTTTGTCAGTAACGTTAAGGGATAGTAGCTGGTTGCTCAGCATGACAGCAGACCGTACAGAGATTGTTAGCATCCTGCGTGAGCAAGGGGAAGATGGGATTTTAACCGGTGTTACTGTGTGTGCGGTAACGCACATTTTGATGTTACTAACCCACACCATATGACAGTGTGACAGGTTCATGTGAGAGCCACTGGAGGCCCAGTCCTGTGGTGAAGTCTGTTCCTATCCGACTATTGTTTCCAGTAGCGCCCCGCCCGCCGCTGGGGGCTAGGTTAGGCTGTGGTTATATGTATCTGGTTGATGTGAGGTTAGGTGAACGTTTTGGGTCAGCTTAAACATCTCCAAAGAGGACTGGTTAAGATTGGAAGTAGGTTAATGTAAAAGGATCTCCAAAGGGAAAACAGTCTTGGACACCTCACCGACTCGCTTGTATGTTGCTCAGCTCAGGTCCAAACTGTGCATGCTGTATATATATGCAGAGAATCTCAGATACTTGTTACTTACAAGAACTGCAATACCTGGGGAACGTGACAGTATGAGGCACAGTCCAGCAGCAGCTCAGTTCCTCTTGTTCTTGCGCAGGTTCAGGAAAACTCACCTGGACACCGTGCAGGACTGGAGCCCTTCTTTGACTTTATTGTCTCCATCAATAACACCAGACTGGTAAGGAATATCAGTGACATGTAATAGGCCTAAATACAAGTCAGAAATGGCAGCATATTTCACAGTTGCCCCTCCTTTCTTTCTTTCTTTGTCGTTTGTTCCTACAGAACAAGGACAATGACACCTTGAAGGACTTACTAAAAGCCAGTGTGGAGAAACCTGTGAAGATGCTGGTTTATTCCTCAAAGACCCTGGAGCTGCGGGAATCCACCGTCACACCGAGCAACCTTTGGGGGGGTCAAGGTTTGCTTGGAGTCTCGATTCGCTTCTGCAGCTTCGAGGGAGCCAATGAGAATGTTTGGCATGTGCTGGTAGGCATCCCCAACACCTCATCTGCATTATATTATGTGATACAGCAGTAGTTTGTTTACTTACACTCACCCTCACTCTTAAACAGGACGTGGAGCCTAACTCCCCAGCTGCTCTCGCTGGGTTGCGTCCGCACACCGACTACATCATCGGAGCTGACACTGTTATGAATGATGTAGGTGATCAGTATTCTAAGCGTCCAGTGCTTTCATGCCTTCACATTCTCCACCTGAGAGTGATTGAGTTTTCTCCTTTTGTCCAACCCCTCTGTGGCATTATCTGCAGACCGAGGACTTGTTCTCTCTGATAGAGAGCCACGAGGGGAAAGGCCTGAAGCTCTACGTGTACAACACAGACACAGACAACTGCAGAGAGGTGGTCATCACACCGAATGGTGGCTGGGGAGGAGAGGGCAGGTAATTGACTGACTGTTTCTCTAACCATAGGAAACAGCCATAAGTGAGCGCGACACCAGAGATATTTGAATTTCTAAAACATCGGAGATGCAAATCAAACATCTGGAATCAGGCTACTCTCAAATGTATTTGAATGAAAGTCTGAGGTTCATTTGTTGGCTTTTCAACTTTTTGTCTTTTCCAGTCTGGGATGTGGGATTGGCTATGGATACCTCCACAGGATTCCCACCCGGCCTTTTGAGGAGGGGAAGAAGATCAGCTTCCCTGGAAATTCTCCCAGTGAGCCCGTCAGTCCGCTGAAGGATGGATTCACTGAGGTCAGTCCACCCACACTATTCAGTTAACATAACAATAAATATGTGACACTTTTCACTGTGTATCCCTGAAAACTATTTTCTGTTATGCTTTATCAGCCACAACTTTAGAGCTCAGAATTGGGGTTAGGTTCCAAAACCCGGTGCCATTCTTATACATCCATTATCTACCAGACTGAATCACAATGCAGATTTTTGTGGCACTTAAATGTCTGTTAATTGAAATATTTGCCCTCTGGTGCTGTAAAACGGATGATATAGGTAACAGAAGCATCATTGCATGTCACATGCTAACACTATCATTACACTTAAGCCGCATTCCATTTCCCTCGGAGCTCAGATTTCAGAGCTGGGAATGACATCAAACCAGAGTAAACTGCGTTCCATTTTCAGTTAACCATAGGGTTGCAGCAGTATACCGTTTTTATGGTATACCATAGTATGAAAACTGATGGTTATCATACCATGTGTATTTGTTTATTACAGGTATTGAATGAATAAACAATGCATGCGCACCTTTCTTTCCTTGCTGCCTGTCAGACTCTACAGTGGGCGCCACACACACACACACACACACACACACACACACAGGCAGCAGACAGATAGCAGAGGAGGCTGAACACCAGCCCTCTGTGCAGATCACAGTATGTGTCCTGTTTATAACTTTAATCCCAAATAATAAAATGTGGGAGCATATAAACAAAAGTCATAAAATGCACTGTCGAAAGAAATTTCCACTGTCTGCTCACATAAGAGTGTGTGTGTGTGTGTGTGTGTGTGTAAGTGAAGTCTGGCTGTGCTGTCAGGCACCTACGCTAAACTTGACAAATATTTTGATAATCATTTAGGGTACCGTGGTGGCATTTCTCCTTACTGTCAGAAGTTTTACAAACCACTCAGCTGATTATTGGAGAAAATATTCAATAGCTGCACTTTGATAGAAAATAGTTCAGCAGAGCTCCACCAACTGACTTCAACAGTCAAATCCTGCTTTTACTGTACATCAGTGCCTGAGTGATGGGCTGTTAATGTAATGATATAGAATAGTATAAGAGTACAGGATAGTAACATTTTTCTGCAATGAGTAGCCTACTTCTACTTTTAATACTTTAATAATACTTCATTTTACTTACCATTTTCAATGCAAGACTTTTACTTGGGTAAAGGATGTGAATATTTCTTCTACTACTGGTGCTAACATGTAAACTAATGTGTTTTAGTTATATAATATGTTGTAATTGTTTTTTCTTTTTTTAAATCATGTTAGAATTCTGTGTATTTTTAAGGTCAGTCTAGCTGCAATCAGCTCAATCAACTGTCACAGTCACTTGCAATTAAAAATATTCAGTTTTCATTCCTTTGAGGGTCGTTGTAGCCGATAATAGTAATTGTGTAACAATGTATGAAAATCTCATACCGTTGCAACCTTAGTTAGCCATAATACCAGTTGAGCCATGTTAGCCGTTGTTAGTAATACCGGTTTACAACAAAGCATTAAGTGGTACTTTGCACATACAAACACTGTAGCAACATGTTCAGATAGATGTTGGACAGTACTGTGGGTATGACTGCTTTAAGGAGACATAAGTACAAATACAAAGTACATTATTACAGCTTCCATCTTTGATTTTGAGGTCAGGATTGGTAAAGTTAGTCTGAAGTTGGAAATCTGACTTCAAAGAGCTGTTGAAGTTTGAAACTGTATTTATTGTTAAATTATTGTAGTTTTTAGGTTTTATTTATGTAAATTTGTTTTGTATTGATTTATATCTTTAATATATTATTATTCTTTTAAATTTAAAAAGCTGTTTTAATGTCACCAACCTTCGTTTTATGTTTCTTAAAGTTAAGGCACCAGCACCATTTTAAAAGTATTCTTTTAGCACTGGTATCAGAAAAAACCCAAACAATACCCAGCCCTACTCTGCAGTGTGTGTGTGTGTGTGTGTGCAATGAAAATATTTTTGTGTCTTGTCCTTGTTTACATTCAGTCTTCGTTCTGTGGGCAGCAAAGCAAGCAGGAGTGACAGAGAGCTGTGCTTTCCATTAGAGTAAAGTGCGGCTTTGGATATATGTGACCTCTTCACCTTCTCTCTTCACTACTTCAGGTTCAGCTTTCAGCAGTGACCCCTCCTTCCACTGCACCTGCTGTGCCCACAGGCTTAGAAGATTCGCTGGCCGGCCTGTCAATCAGCACAGCCCCGCCCACCATGCCTAGTGAACTGCAGACAGGTATGTCACCTTGTTTTCTCTTTTCTGTTTTATACTTGTTTGAGGGTTGCATGGTAGCACAATGATTAGCGCTGACACCTCACAGCAAGAAGGTTCCAGGTTCGAGCCCAGGCCATGTTCTCCCTGCGCCGGTTCTCTCCGGGTACTCCGGCTTCGTCCCAAAGACCAAAGACATGCAGCTTAGGTTGACTGGCAACTTTAAATTGTCCCTAGGTGTGTGTGTGTGTGTGGATGTTTGTCTGCATATCAGCCCTGTGATGGACTGGTGACCTGTCTGGTGTACCCTGCCTCTTGCCCACTGTCATCTGGGATTGGCTCCAGCCCCCCCGTTCAGGATAAGCAGTATAGAGAATGGATGGATGGACTTGTTTGTTCCAGTGCATTGCATTTGTATTATTGACAGGAGTATTTCTCATTGAACAAAAACTGCTTTTATAAACATCACCATCACTCCACGTTTTTATTTAATGTACATCGGCCACCCCTCCAGGTTTGCCCACAGTCCCTCTGCTCCCCACCTCCACCAGCCCCTCAGTCAGCCACCTCACTCCAGTGAATCCTGCCTCCATCAGCTTCAACCCTGCTACAGCAATACCAGGTGGGCCATAGTTGTTTTTTGTTTTCATTCACAGCACTCTGTCTGCTAAGCATACAGCACAAAGCGAAGGTGGCACAGCCCTTTGAGTGCATGTTCACACCCTGGCAGTATACAGTACATACTTTGTCTTTAGGACAAGCCATGGCTACCGGTAAATTATTTCTATATTAAACCTTCAGTACAAATTACTCAGCAAAGCCAGGGTGTTCCCATCAGCTTCTGCCCATCTTCATTCAGTCACATGTTTTTGGAGCCGTTAACCTGCAGTGAACTCACTCCTCTATGTTGGCTCAGATTAAAGTGTTTCCGGGTCATGTGCCATGTTCTGGAAAATGTTAACTGTTCTCATATTACAAAGTGTTGCTGTTGTAATGTACACTAATATGTATGGTTTTAGGTCTGATGCCCTTTCCTGGTGGGTTGCCTCCACTCCCGAACCTTTCCAACCTAAACCTGCACCTCCCAGACCTCAGCGCTGTGTCATTAGCAGGCACCAGCCCCTTACCCCCATCAGTGGGAATGTCAGGTACACAAACATTGTACTTTTTTTTTTTTGACAGTTGCACTCTTTCACTGTACACATACTTTATACCAGTAGCTTCCAGACTCACAGCGACCCCTACAAAGGGACAAGATAATCTGTGTGGTCATGAGATTAACAAGATAAAAAAAAAAAGCAAAAGCACAAGTATGTCTTTGTTTAGACTGTATCTTCTGATTATAAAGTTCACTCTACAACGTATGTATGTAAAGAGAGAGAGCAAACAAGCACAATACCATACGAGTGATGTATCTGTCTTGTTTTTCCTTCACCCCCCAGCATTCCCACCTCTGGCCCCTCTCCCTCCCCTCAACCTGCCAGGTCTGACCCCACTGCACTCTCTCTCCACCATGCTGCACTCCCAGTTGCCTCAGGGAGTGGCCCCCCTCCTGCCCACCTCTACCACCGCCCCTCCAGCTTCTGTCACAGTCACAGCAGCACCTGTGACCGACCCTGTCACCGTCTCCACAGCACTCACAGAAGCAGCGTCCACACACACTGTGGAATCACCAGCCCCCACGGAAACAACACTAACTTCATCGTAACCTGGAAAGATCATCCCATTCATATCGAACCAAAACACACACCCAGTTTCTCTCTTCTGTTTTTCTATTTATTTGGCAAAGAGGGACAGGCAGACAGCTGCATCGGTTCAGACACAGAAGTCACCATGCTCCAGTTATGGGTGAGGAAGCTTGTGTGGAGCGAGACAAAATGAATATGAAGAATGGAGGATGGACTTGTCTTAACCAACGCATCTTTATTGCTGGGTTTGTAGTTTGTTTCGCACTTATGCAGTTACAACAAGGCGAAGAGTCATTTCCCGTTTCTGATCTGTTTAGCAGTTTTTAATATGTTAACGGGGCTGGACAATAGATCAAATTTACTGAATTACTACAGGTTTCAACTCCCTTATTAATAAAGAATGGCTTCAGGGGCAAGCTAAGAGTCCAGAAGTCATGTAACTGGTCCTACTGGAATGCAGCAGAACAAAGGTAGCAGTGGGCCAACAAGAATAATCATGGACCGCCTTATTAAAAATGGGCACAAGGTAAATCTGATGTTGAAGTTTGTGGCTGCCATTGTCCAGCCCTGATGTGTAACCTTCTGTTAGTTCACAGATCCCCAGATCGGTAGATGAATTTGACCATTTTTGTTGAATGGGTGTGTCCACCCAGGGAATTAACCTGCTTTATTTTGCGCCACCTTTGTCTTTTGAAATCATCTTTTCCTTTTGTATGTGTCAATATATGCGCAGAACTCCACAGTACATACCACCGTCTCTACTACACACAGTAACAGCCTGAAGACCATACCAGAGGGGACAAAGGTTTACGGTTATATGAGCTACTGAGTAAAGTGTGTGTTTGCTGATGGGGGATTATTAAATACACTGTACATCTCCTCCCGACATGGCTGAAGAGAACTGGTTACGGTGATGCAATGCAGCCACAAGGTGCTGCTGTAACAGAACATTCAGAAAAATACCTACAGTATGCACAGTGTGAGCAATAAAGCCAAATAAGTTTTACCTGATGCCTCTGTGTCTTTGTGTGTTGCTGCTGTTTGTATCAGGCCTGCCTTTACACAAACTGAAACACTTGACTGTGGAAAATCAAAAGGGTCACATTGGACTGCTCAGCAATGCACCAGACTGATGTAATTCCTGCCTCTTTCCAGGTATCAAGTAGGTGTAATGACCAAAAATGTGGAGGAACGCACCAGACTGATGGAAAGAGGCAGGAATTACAGGTATCAAGTTGATTAAAAAATAAAGCAGGTGTAATGACCAAAAATGTGGAGGAAAAAAATGGTGATAAACAGCCGACACCTGCAGACGTAAGGAGTGAAGTGGACAAACCACAACACTATTTAAAGATAGATATTTCATGTTATAAATGTAGTGATAATTACATCACTACGTTCACTTTTATTCAGTATTCAGCTGCTAGAAAGATTCAATTTATTATAATTTGGTTCCATAAATCATGCTTTCACAGTCCTAGATGACAGGAAAGTGAGATTTTAATCAATGCCTGTTGACTCAACTGCCACGTGAATGATATTGTAGCTAAAGCACTTTTTTGTGACACATGATGCTTATTGAACCCAACAATCTGCCAGTATCTTCAACAGACATCACCTCCATCACCATCTCGTGTCAAACACTAATAGCAAGGCTGCATAACTGCAGGAAGGAAGACTCAGAATGCAATATTTATTGCATATGAATGACATGGCCTAGCGCTGCACCCCCACTGCTGACGTGATCGGCTATATAGTTTACTAGTAACTGCGCTGACATCTGTCTACATGTGGCTGCTATTCATCATGTGGTACAGTGTGTGTACTGGATGCTAGCACTTACTAATGTTTTGTTAAACAGAAGAAAGGAGAGGTGGGGATATGATTGGGTGCAATGAGCCATAAAACAAACTGGACACTACCTGTTTCATTGCAGCAAGCTGTGAGCAGGTACCTCCTGCTTTTTAATTCATCTGTCACATTACTTGCACTACAACTGTCTGGGGGCATTTGTTCAAAACAATTAAGACTTTGAAAGCAAGCAGAAGGAAAATGAGACACTCACAGCCTGCTGGAAACTACTCCCACTCGTCTTTCATCCAACCTTGTACCTAAGAATGTCTCCTCCTCTTGCCATGAGTGTGCTCTTGGTCCAGGTTGCCTGCATGTAAGAGGGGCTTAAAACGTCACAATAACATACAGGTTAAGTGTTTTATTTACAGGATGACAACATCTGGATATATCCACTTGATTTCTAGCTGCAGTAAATCATTTTACAACACAGGCCAACCCGGAGCGTGGCCATTTCTACTGGCATGAACATGTGTGACCACTTCTCCCTGCACAGCATACTGGGACTTGGCTCCATATACATCAAAG